CTGTTTCTCTGAGACACAAACAAACCAGAAAAATAATAAATATATTTTATTTATCGCTGAAGGAGAAGAGCAGGAGTCAGCAGCAGAATGAACACACACACACACACACACACACACACACACACACACACACACACACACACACACACACACACACACACACACACACACACACACACACACACACACACACACACACACACAAAGTCCAGCAGCAGAGGTGTGTGTGTGTTATGTCTCTGTGTGTGTGTGTTTTATGTCTGTGTGTGTTATGTCTGTGTGTGTATTATGTCTGTGTGTGTTATGTCTGTGTGTGTTATGTCTGTGTGTGTTATGTCTGTGTGTGTTATGTCTGTGTGTGTATTATGTCTGTGTGTGTTATGTGTTATGTGTGTGTGTGCGAGGGTTCGTCTGGGTATGAATGAACAATAAGTACACAACATGTTTGTGGCTGGATGTGGGGGCGGGGGGAGGGGGATAGTAAAGGGGGGGGGGGGGGGTATGTGAAGTTAAATTTAGTCGTACACATGTTTGTTTTGTCCGTACCATAATCGTTTCTGTCGTGACTATGATTGTTTATTGACACAGAGGAACTTGAAGCACATGCACTGTTGTTAATAATGCTAATAAAACTTTATTAGCATTATTAACAACTTTTACAACAGTTTATGTGTTTGTCGGATGTGTTTCTGCCGCTGACCTCCTTCTACAGGATCAATAAAGTTTCTCTTTCACCGACTCGAGGAGGAGCTCTCCAAAGTCCTGATCCAATCTCCCGCTCTGCGCCGACTTTTCATTTTCACATCTCGCTCCTTATTGCAGACCTTTGTTCTCACCTTTTGCTTTTCTTTCATAAAAGTCTGTATATAAGTTCACATACTTTCCCAGAGACGGATCCTCTGCGTCCAAAAGTCTCTTGTATATAAATTGTGTGTTTCGTTCTTGATTGTGTTGATGAGAAGCATCTTTGAGGACTAGGATTATTTGGAGAATGTTTAACACAAATAAAATGGTGTTTGAAGGAGGCACATGAGCTTTCCAGGTGTTCCCAGGGGTCTCCCATCACAGCGCTAACCAGGCACTGACCTGCTTAGCTTCAGAGGTCTGACAGGATCTGCAGGTATGGGTCACACATCTGCCTTTGTCAAATCCACAGTTTTCTTCAACACACTCTGCTCGCTCTGGTCCTGCTCTCTGATTGGTCAGAATGATCACATTGAGCAGACGTCTCGGAGACCACAAGATAAGACAGACTTTATTGATCTCACACTGGGGAAATGTACATACAAAAAAAAATAAACAACAAATAAAAAAACAGTACCACCACATTCTCAGCAGGAATAGAAGTAGCCTGGTCGTACCACACCATAGTACTAATTACATTTCGTATCGAGGTCTGGATTGTCTCCATTGACTCCGTGAACAGGTGGGAGGGGCTAACTCCTTTTGCAGATCGAAATGATTGGATCTGAGTTTACCGTGACGTAGGTAATGCACCCGAGTGAGGCATTTAGCCTAGCTTTAGCATTTAGCCTAGCTTTAGCCATCTCCTTTACCGCTAACGGAGCCCGTGGGGAGTAGCGCCACAATCTTTGCAGCGATTACTTTTGCTAAACATTCCTCTTGCTCCGACTTCAGTTTCTTGATAGAACCAGAGCAGAATACTTTACTGTCACATTCTTTGCCAAACTACAACCTTCCCGTTCGACGCAAACTCTTATCGTCACCCACAACTAACTACAACACCCGCCTCCCGCGCTCTCTGATTGGTCGGATGGAATTCAACCGACTGTAATCGCTAACACAGGGACCAGACCCAGACGTTACATGCAGGACATGATGATGGACCGAGAGTACGGATGGATAAGGCCCGGGCAGGATAGAAGTGTCCTGCTTCATCCTCATCATGTGACTGGTCATGGATCTCATTCATTTAACTGGGAAAAAAGCGACAATAAAACCCTACAGAGACGTTAGCTTCATAACCAGCTTCTCGTTAGCATCGATAAACCTCTTATTGTTCTCTGTGTGTGTGCTTGTGTGTGTCTGTGTGTGTCTGTGTGTGTGTCTGTGTGTGTGTGTGTGTCTGTGTGTGTGTCTGTGTGTGTGTGTCTGTGTGTGTCTGTGTGTGTGTGTCTGTGTGTGTCTGTGTGTGGTTCTGGTCATGCTAATTCTCACAGTAAAACCATGTATAACTGTGTCTAACTTGTTCACATTAAAACCATCTCTGAAGTTTGTACCAATATCAAAGTTGAATCTTTACCAAACTCAGGTCGGTTTGAAGGATCCAAACTATGAAAAACATTATGAAAAACCTCATTAAAAAGCAGCTGTTTCTCTGTGGACACAAACGACTCGAGCCCCGGGGAAATGTTTGCTACCTCTAAATCTTAATTAGCAGTTCAAAGAAAGCACGGCTCGTCTCGGCTCGGCTTATCAAAGGTCAGCGATGCTAAAGTCATGGGCGGCTAATTAGCATCAGGGCTATTCTGAGACTGAGGCAAAAATCCTCAAATTATGGAGAATAGATCCGTGTTTCTCTCTGAGCCACGGAGTCACGCTCAGAATTTTGTGTATTTATAGAAAAACAAGTCTTTCTTTTCACGTTATTTTGACCAATGTGGTGATTTTAGGGGATCCTGGAGAAATGTGGACTTCCTCGAGGTTTCTCACTTTCCCACTGGGTTTAGAGTCTTTCCTCTGATGCTAAGACTGTGGTGATCTCTGCCCCTTATGGTCTAGCCTGGTCTTACCGCACCATGGTACTCAATTCATTTCATATTTAGGTCTGGATTGTCTGCATTGACTCCGTTAACAGGTGGGAGGGGCTAACTCCTTTTGCAGATTGAAACCATTGAGTTTACTGTGACGTATGTAATGAGCCCGAGTGAGTGAGGCATGTAGCCTAGCTTTAACATGTAGCCTAGCTTTAGCCATCTCCTTTGCCGCTAACGGAGCCCGTGGGGAGTAGAGCCACAATCTCTGCTTCAATGACATTTACTAAACATTCCTCTTGCTCCAGCTTCAGTTTCTTGATATTTGGATTGAACCAGAACAGATTATTTTACTATCGCATTCTTCGACAAACTACAACCTGCAAATTCAGACAAACTCTTGACGTCACCGACACCGACCTACAACACCCGCCTCCCCCGCTCTCTGATTGGTCGGAGGAGATTCAACCGAGGAAACTGCAGCCACTAGGATCAGACCCAGACGTACATGTAGGAAATGACCATGGACCAGAGTTTACACATGGTAAGACCAGACGTACATGTAGGAAATGACCATGGACCAGAGTTTACACATGGTAAGACCAGACGTACATGTAGGAAATGACCATGGACCAGAGTTTACACATGGTAAGACCAGACGTACATGTAGGAAATGATCATGGACCAGAGTTTACACATGGTAAGACCAGACGTACATGTAGGAAATGATCATGGACCAGAGTTTACACATGGTAAGACCAGACGTACATGTAGGAAATGATCATGGACCAGAGTTTACACATGGTAAGACCAGACGTACATGTAGGAGAGGATCATGGACCAGAGTTTACACATGGTAAGACCAGGGTAGTTGTGTATGAACTGTGATTCTCTGATTTGTTTTGTGAATGTGTAGAAATGTTCATGTCACATTAACACAGATAAAATCACTCAGATTGTGTAAACGACAGAAGTGTGAAACATGTTGAAGGTTAAAAATACAGTCTGTGCAGGAGATAATTATCTACAATAAAAAGTGGCAATAGCAGCTGGTTTTTTCAGTCCTAGTGCATTAGTGACTCATTGTACAGTCTGACAGCGGCGACAGGAGCGTTTGGAGCCGTGTGTGAAGGAGGCATGTGCGACACTTAGGTCTTATTTTAGAGTGAGTGAAGCTGCAGGAGGAGAGTGTGGAGGAGGTGTTCTCTCATGGAGCCACACCAAGGAGACCACAGACACGGATTCATCTTTAGGTACGACTAGAAAAGGTCAAACAGAGAAGGACCAAAGGACAACATCTGGGAGGATTAACAGACAGAGAGAGAGACCAGAGAGAGAGAGAGAGAGAGAGAGAGAGAGAGACCAGAGAGAGAGAGAGAGAGAGAGAGAGACCAGAGAGAGAGAGAGAGAGAGAGAGAGAGACCAGAGAGAGAGACCAGAGAGAGACCAGAGAGAGAGAGAGAGAAACCAGAGAGAGAGAGAGAGAGAGAGAGAGAGAGACCAGAGAGAGAGACCAGAGAGAGAGAGAGAGAGAGAGAGAGAGACCAGAGAGAGAGAGAGAGACCAGAGAGAGAGAGAGAGAGACCAGAGAGAGAGAGAGAGAGAGACCAGAGAGAGACCAGAGAGAGAGAGACCAGAGAGAGACCAGAGTAGAGAGAGACCAGAGAGAGACCAGAGAGAGAGAGAGAGAAACCAGAGAGAGAGAGAGAGAGAGAGAGAGAGACCAGAGAGAGAGACCAGAGAGAGAGAGAGAGAGAGAGAGAGACCAGAGAGAGAGACCAGAGAGAGAGAGAGAGACCAGAGAGAGAGAGAGACCAGAGAGAGAGACCAGAGAGAGAGAGAGAGAAGAGAGAGAGAGAGAGAGAGAGAGAGACCAGAGAGAAGAGACCAGAGAGAGAGAGAGAGACCAGAGAGAAGAGAGACCAGAGAGAAGAGAGAGAGAGACCAGAGAGAGAGAGAAGAGAGAGAGAGACCAGAGAGAGAGTCTCTCTTCTCCTCCTCAGGCGTCATTGGCTGCGCCTCGCGTCTATCTTCTCGCTTCTTCTTCTGAATTCTTCTCCCCTCTCTCTCTTCCCCCCCTCTCTCTCTCTAGCTCTCCCCGGCCCTCTTCCTGCTCTCTGGCAGCTCGGACTTTCTCTACTCGGCTGCGTCGTCCGGACCGTGTGGGGAGGGTTTAGTAGGCGGGAGGCGTGGAGTGGTGAGTTGTGAGGTGGATGGGCGCTCGGGTCATCTGCCTTCTACCCGTTATCTCGGTAACTGCTTTATGGCCCCCATGCCGCGAGGGCGATGGAGTTTAGGGAGGAGCGGCCGGTCTCTCCCCACTCCTCGGCTCGCTGCGGGCGGTTGTTGGTCGCTCTTCCCCCTCGCCATCGCGTCTCCGGCTCTTCTCTTCTCTCTCGGAGGGCTCTCCTTAGGAGACCCGTAGTATGGGGTAAGTCTCACACCGAGAGAGTAGGAGCGGCCTCTCGCATGAGCGATAGCATGCGGGAGCTGCCCCGTAGAGAGAAGACCCGTTCGATTTGCTTCGCTCATCGCCCTGGGGGCGCCCATTGGAAGGAGGCGGCCCAGCGCATCCGCGGACCATGTATGCACCGGATACCGAGAGGGGACCAGGCTGGTATGTCAGGAGAGCGTCTGGGCTCTTCCCCGACCGCCTGACTGCCCAGCGCGCCTCGGCTTGCCGACGACCCGTCAGAGCACAGACCCTAGCGCGATGACGTCTAAGTCGCGCAGAGACCAGAGAGGATGACCGCCTCGGCGACGAGGCGCAGAGAGAGAGAGAGAGAGCGGCGTCCCAGAGCGGAGGACCGAGCCAGAGACCCGGAGACGCAGGACCGAGAGACAGGACGCAGCCAGAGCGCGAGCCCAGAGAGGAGAGAGACTAGAGTACCCCAGAGAGAGAGAGGCTGATTTGAGGAGACCGAAGAGGGTTAGCACCATAGATCTGAGAGAGAGAGAGACGCAGAAGCCGCGAGAGAGAGACCAAGAGAGAGAACCCGAGAGAGAGGAGAGAGGAGACATAGAGAGAGGAGAGCGCGAGAGACCAGAGAGAGACAGAAGAGATGAGAGAGAGAGAGAGAGTACGACCAGAGAAGAGAGAGAGATGAGACCGGGGGAGGGTGAGGGAGGGGCGCGCTCGCGCGGACACGAGGCGGCGAGGAGAGGGCGGAGGCATGACGTAGAGTGAGCCCAAAGGAGGAGGTAGGAGGGCCAGACCATAGCGATAGAGAGAGAGAGACCAGAGAGAGAAGACCCCCAGGAAAGAGGAGAGAGTAGAGAGAGACCAGGGGGAGAGCGATACAGAGAGATGAGTAGACCGGGCGGGGGCCGAGCGTAGAGAATGGAGAAGATGAGGTAGCAACCAATGATAGGCGGAGGAGTCACGCCGACGAGGAGAGAGAGAGAGAGAGCTCACCACGAGCTGCAGGAGCGCGAGACGAGAGAGCATGGAGTGGAAGACGACTCGAGGGATGGGGAGTAGGCCGGACTCTCGTAGGGAGGGGCGAGGAGGGAGGTCGTAGAGCGGAGAGATGGAGAGCGCCCGCGGCGGGCACGCAGCGGCGAGCGTATCAGAGTAGAGCGAACGAGTCAGCACGGCGCAGCGAGGAGCTGGCCGTATTATGATGTTTCACGAGTAATGCCCCGGGGGGGGGGGGGGGGTAGAGAGAGAGAACCAGTAGCCCCTAGTAGCCTGCGGATGGCGCTTCGCAGTCAGGCGTCGCGCTCAGGGCGATGCTCCGCATCGCGCTGCTGGGTGGGGCGGCTCTTCCTAGCTGTCTCTACTTTTCTCGGATCTGGGTCTTGACGGGACTGACGGGGGGGGGGGTCTGTCATGGCGTCTCTCCTGTGCATCCGCCTTTCCGGTGTCGCAGTGTGAGGTCTGGGTGATGGCGCGTTCGTCCTCTTCTCTTCCCCCGGGCTGCCTCAGCACCCCTCTGGCTCGAGGTGGGGCGCGGACACGTTGCGCCCGCTCGCTCGGTTCGATCTGCCCCGCCGGAGTGTGGGTGTGGGGTTGGGTGGGGGCGGGGAGGGGGCCCATATCATCGAGTCTATCAGACGCACCGGCTGGGGCTGCGAGCGCCCGACCCCGGGCTCTCTCTCGTTGTCAGTGACCTCCCGCGCTGCCCGGAGTCAGCCACTGAGAGTGCGACGCCATCCAAGGGACGGGCGGCCGGACGGGACTCTATCCCGATACCCACGGGAAGGCGTGTCCGAGCTCTCTCGTCTCGCACACCTCTTCCCGACGGCTCGAGACACGATCCAGTGTTTCCGAGCATGGCAGAACCAGCAATCCCATCTCCACACTAACTGGCAGGGTGACTGGTTTTTGTGCTGTGTCCACGCCACACAGACCGTCATGTAATATGATAGATAACCACCAAGACAAACATTAGTTTGTGGCACATCCAAATATACCTTTGGTTTGAGAGCCTGAATGCAGAGGGCTCAGAGCTTCCGCCAGGAGAGTCCCAGCCTGGTCCAGTCTCACACAGACTGGACTTCTGTATCAAGCGTCTGAACATCAGCAAAAAAACAAAACGATCGGAGAATTAACACAGCTTGAACTTTTGCACATTTTGTCAAGTTTACACCATAAACATAACAATTTTGACGACTAACAGACGACTGTGAAGGGAAAGTAAAATGATTCATGATTCTGTTATAAAAAAAAATGAAACCGAAAAGTTGGGGCAACACAAGTTTTCATAAAGCAGGAGTTAATACTTTGTGAACCCGTTTGCTTCAATAACAGCAGTCAGTCTTTTGGAGTTTGACTGAAGATTCTACACATCCAGAGACAGAAGGTTTAGCCCATTCCTCTCTACAAAACAACTCCTGCTCTGTCAGATTAGATGGAGAGCGTTTGTAAACAGCAGTTACCAGGTCTTTCCACAGATTTTCTGATGGAAAAGTCAGAGTCTAAACTCTGACTTCTCACACATGACACACTTGTAGCTTTAGCTTTGTGTTTAGGGTCAGTGGGCCTCATTCACGAACCGTTCAAGAAAAAATTGTGTGCGTAAATCCTACTTACGAGGATTTTGTAACCAGAATTTCTCTTGGGTAAGTACAAATCCTCCGAGTGCTCAGGAGCATCAGAGCCGACATGTTCGCACGCTGGTGTTGTCTTCTCTGGTGAAGTTCAATAAAATACAACATTACAGTGATATGTCCGTCATATTGATGTATGTATTTATTTATTTCAGTGTTTATAGTAATTTAGCCTATTTTTTAATTCATTTTTAAATGAAATGTGCCAACGCTTTATCAAATACATTGGAAATCTTGCCGTGTATTCAGTGACCCCTTCCTATTTATAGGGGGCATTTCTTTATCCACGGGCCACAGAACAATGGCCATAAATACTGCTGCTCTGCAGGAGGCTGCGGGGGTCCACGCTGGTCTCGTGGATCCATTCGGTGGCCCGCCGTGGATGGATAGCCATACATATCGCCTGAGTGTGAGGAGAAATGGGGTCCGGGAGGTTGAGCTCCTAGGTGAGGAGTCGTGAGGTGAAGGTCGGTGGGAGGTGAGGTGAGGAGGGGTGAGGAGGGTGAGGGAGGAGGTGAGGAGGAGGGGAAGGTGAGGAGGGGGGAGGAGGTGAGGAGGTGAGTGAGGAGGTGATGAGGAGGTGAGGAGGTTGGGGTGGGGAGGAGGTGAGGAGGAGGTGAGGAGGTGAGGAGGTGGTGAGGAGGTGAGGGGGAGAGGAGGTGGGAGGTGAGGAGGAGCGTAGGTGAGGAGGTGAGGAGGTTAGTTATGTGAGGGTGGGAGCTTTCGTTTCTTCGTGAGGAGTTTGGCTTCGTCATACGGCATCTGAGGGCGGTTAGGGGAGCTGAGGAGTCTTCTTATCTTAGTCTGTATCTGTCTGAGGATCTTGATGCGGTTAATTTATTAGTATAGATTGAGCTGTATTATTCTGGATACTCTGCTTATCTTCTGATGTGCTTCTGAGCGGATGCAGAGTAGGTTGGGGTGTAGGGAGTGTTCGAGGGGTGGGGTAGGAGGCTTGATGGATGCGGTGTGCATGGACGTCGTGATCTTCTGGTTAGGTAGTGGTCTTCATATGCTTTCTTATTATGGTTGCTTCTTAGGTCTTCAGTCTTATCTGCCTATCTGCTTCTTATCTTCGTTATTCTGTGCTTAGCTTCGTCTGATCTTCCTTATTTATTTGTCAGTGCGTAACTCTCTTCTCTTATCTTCTTATCTTCTTCTTATCTTGCTGTTGATTCCTTATCGTCTTCTTCATTCTGTATTCTTATCTTACGGTGTCTATCGGATCTTCGCGACTTAACTCTTCTCTAATTATTTTCTTCGTCATCTTCTTTGTCTTATCCTGCGTATCTGCTTCTTATCTTTGCTCCTGAGATCGTTGCTTTATCTACTTCCCTATACGTCCGTATCGCTGCTGTCTTATCTTCTTAATTATTTGTTTCTGTCTGATCATTGCTTCTTATCTTGCTATAATCGTTCTTCTTTGATTCTGTCTTCTCTTATCGCTTCTAGATGCTTTCTTCGTGTATCGTGCTGGATGTAGATTCTCCATGCCCGTCAGCATCAATACCCCCTCATGATCACATGTCTAAGGCTCAATAGACCACCGGCATTCTATGCATATGCCATCTTTCAGGCCTGGCAGTATGTAGGCGACTTATGCGTCCCGGCTTAGATACGGCGTGGGGTCCCTAGGATGTGCTCACACCCAAAGTGTAACGTGGGTAGTCTACCATCCTGAACCTGCGCTCAAGCTTCATATGGACTAAAACAGTGACGTCTCTGAACCACAGCCTCTGCATCATCCTCCAAAGTCCATAGACTCGCACAGATATCTCCCTCAGCATCAACGTCCTTCAGCTCTGACACAAACACAGAGTCACATGACCGTCAGAGTCACATGACCGTCAGAGTCACATGACCGTGCAGAGTCACATGACCGTGCCGAGTCACATGACCGTGCAGAGTCACATGACCAGTGTCTCTGTAAGTGAAGGAGCAGGTCATGCCTGAGTAATTACAATAATCAGCATTGTTTAAAATACACAATAACGATAGGTGTGTGTGTGTGTGTACTCAAATGGATTTTGCGCTTACTATGAGCAGTGAGAGAGAAACAGAGAGACAGAAAGTCCAGAGTCCAACAAGAGTCCAGAGAAAGAGAGAGATGGTCTTCCTCTGGGCTCCCCCTGGTCTTTATGTAGGTAATGTGTAATGTAAAAGTCTCAAAGCGGTTTACAATTGTTATTTTTGGGCATTTGTCTCTCGCTCCACACAGAGACAGAGATGGGAGCGGGGTCGCCAGTACAGGAGGCGCATGCCAGACCTATTGTACATATTTTTAGTTGTAGGGGAAACCGGAGTACCCGGAGGAAACCTTCGCAGACACGGGGAGAACATGCAAACTCCACTCAGAAAGGCCCTGGTCCGACCGGGATTCGAACCCAGGACCTTCTTGCTGAGAGGCGAGAGTGCTATCCACTCTGCCACCGTGCCGGAGGATCCCAGTCTTCCTCTGGGCTCCTCCTGGTCTTCCTCTGGGCTCCTCCTGGTCTTCCTCTGTGGGTGTGTTTGTTCTTCCGTGGTCAGAGCCGGTGCCAGAGCTCTTGTCAGAGTTGGACCCATCTCTACGTTATCACCGTGAAGTGAAGTGAGGCTGGGACTGTGTGAAGAATCAGGACCAAATAATAATCTGTTTATGTAAATAATAATAATCTGTTTATGTAAATAATAATAAAAATCTGTTTATGTAAATAATAATAATAATCTGTTTATGTAAATAATAATAATAATCTGTTTATGTAAATAATAATAATAATCTGTTTATGTAAATAATAATAATAATCTGTTTATGTAAATAATAATAATAATCTGTTTATGTAAATACTACCTTCGGCTTCAGCGGCTGTGGCTCAGACAGACAATAACTGTTCTCACAGACTGAAAGTGCTAACTGTGAAAACCATAATTATACCGTTGGAAAATGTGGAGAAGATTCTGTGAGACTGTAGACCAGACTCAGTCTCTGCCTCCTCAGTCTCTGCTTCAGTCTCTGCCGCCTCAGTCTCTGCCGCCTCAGTCTCTGCCGCCTCAGTCTCTGCCGCCTCAGTCTCTGCCGCCTCAGTCTCTGCCGCCTCAGTCTCTGCCGCCTCAGTCTCTGCCGCCTCAGTCTCTGCCGCCTCAGTCTCTGCCTCAGTCTCTGCCGCCTCAGTCTCTGCCGCCTCAGTCTCTGCCGCCTCAGTCTCTGCCGCCTCAGTCTCTGCCGCCTCAGTCTCTGCCGCCTCAGTCTCTGCCGCCTCAGTCTCTGCCGCCTCAGTCTCTGCCGCCTCAGTCTCTGCCGCCTCAGTCTCTGCCTCAGTCTCTGCCTCAGTCTCTGCCTCAGTCTCTGCCTCAGTCTCTGCCTCAGTCTCTGCCTCAGTCTCTGCCGCCTCAGTCTCTGCCTCAGACTCTGCCTCAGACTCTGCCTCAGTCTCTGCTTCAGTCTCTGCTTCAGTCTCTGCTTCAGTCTCTGCCTCAGTCTCTGCCTCAGTCTCTGCCTCAGTCTCTGCCTCAGTCTCTGCCTCAGTCTCTGCCTCAGTCTCTGCCTCAGTCTCTGCCTCAGTCTCTGCCTCAGTCTCTGCCTCAGTCTCTGCCTCAGTCTCTGCCTCAGTCTCTGCCTCAGTCTCTGCCTCAGTCTCTGCCTCAGTCTCTGCCTCAGTCTCTGCCTCAGTCTCTGCTTCAGTCTCTGCTTCAGTCTCTGCCTCAGTCTCTGCCTCAGTCTCTGCTTCAGTCTCTGCTTCAGTCTCTGCCTCAGTCTCTGCCTCAGTCTCTGCCTCAGTCTCTGCCTCAGTCTCTGCCTCAGTCTCTGCCTCAGTCTCTGCCTCAGTCTCTGTAAAACCCTGTAATACAGACCTATAATTCCCAAACACAGGATGCAGAGTAAACACAGCGGTGAACGTCATCGTCTAAGGTTCTAACTGGGACAAAAGTATCCGTGTCTTTCTCCTGTTTCCCTGAAGCAGCGGAACCAGCAGGACGGGGTTACTATCGTCTACGTTACAGACACCAGCAGTGAAAGTATGATTCTGTGAGGTCTACACCGGTTACACAGGAGACTGAAGCAGAGACTGAAGCAGAGACTGAAGCAGAGACTGAAGCAGAGACTGAAGCAGAGACTGAAGCAGAGACTGAAGCAGAGACTGAGGCAGAGACTGAAGCAGAGACTGAAGCAGAGACTGAGGCAGAGTCTGAGGCAGAGTCTGAGGCAGAGACTGAAGCAGAGACTGAAGCAGAGACTGAAGCAGAGACTGAAGCAGAGACTGAGGCAGAGACTGAGGCAGAGACTGAGACAGAGACTGAGGCAGAGACTGAGGCAGAGACTGAAGCAGAGATGAGGCAGAGACTGAGGCAGAGACTGAGGCAGAGACTGAAGCAGAGACTGAAGCAGAGACTGAGGCAGAGACTGAAGCAGAGACTGAAGCAGAGACTGAGGCAGAGACTGAAGCAGAGACTGAGGCAGAGACTGAGGCAGACTGAGGCAGAGACTGAGGCAGAGACTGAAGCAGAGACTGAAGCAGAGACTGAAGCAGAGACTGAAGCAGAGACTGAGGCAGAGACTGAGGCAGAGACTGAGACAGGGACTGAGGCAGAGACTGAGGCAGAGACTGAAGCAGAGATGAGGCAGAGACTGAGGCAGAGACTGAGGCAGAGACTGAAGCAGAGACTGAAGCAGAGACTGAAGCAGAGACTGAAGCAGAGACTGAGGCAGAGACTGAAGCAGAGACTGAAGCAGAGACTGAGGCAGAGACTGAAGCAGAGACTGAGGCAGAGACTGAGGCAGACTGAGGCAGAGACTGAGGCAGAGACTGAGGCAGAGACTGAGGCAGAGACTGAAGCAGAGACTGAAGTAGAGACTGAAGTAGAGACTGAGGCAGAGACTGAGGCAGAGACTGAGGCAGAGACTGAGGCAGAGACTGAAGCAGAGACTGAGGCAGAGACTGAGGCAGAGACTGAGGCAGAGACTGAAGCAGAGACTGAAGCAGAGACTGAGGCAGAGACTGAAGCAGAGACTGAGGCAGAGACTGAGGCAGAGACTGAGGCAGAGACTGAGGCAGAGACTGTGCAGAGACTGAGGCAGAGACTGAAGCAGAGACTGAGGCAGAGACTGAGGCAGAGACTGAGCAGAGACTGAAGCAGAGACTGAAGCAGAGACTGAAGCAGAGACTGAAGCAGAGACTGAAGCAGAGACTGAGGAAGAGACTGAAGCAGAGACTGAGGCAGAGACTGAGGCAGAGACTGAGGCAGAGACTGAGGCAGAGACTGAAGCAGAGACTGAGGCAGAGACTGAAGCAGAGACTGAGGCAGAGACTGAAGCAGAGACTGAGGCAGAGACTGAGGCAGAGACTGAAGCAGAGACTGAGGCAGAGACTGAAGCAGAGACTGAAGTAGAGACTGAGGCAGAGACTGAAGCAGAGACTGAGGCAGAGACTGAAGCAGAGACTGAGGCAGAGACTGAAGCAGAGACTGAAGCAGAGACTGAAGCAGAGACTGAAGCAGAGACTGAGGCAGAGACTGAAGCAGAGACTGAAGCAGAGACTGAAGCAGAGACTGAAGCAGAGACTGAGGCAGAGACTGAGGCAGAGACTGAGGCAGAGACTGAAGCAGAGACTGAAGTAGAGACTGAGGCAGAGACTGAAGCAGAGACTGAAGCAAAGACTGAAGCAGAGACTGAAGCAGAGACTGAAGCAGAGACTGAAGCAGAGACTGAGGAAGAGACTGAAGCAGAGACTGAAGCAGAGACTGAAGCAGAGACTGAAGCAGAGACTGAGGCAGAGACTGAGGCAGATACTGAAGCAGAGACTGAAGTAGAGACTGAGGCAGAGACTGAGGCAGAGACTGAAGCAGAGACTGAGGCAGAGACTGAAGCAGAGACTGAAGCAGAGACTGAAGCAGAGACTGAAGCAGAGACTGAGGCAGAGACTGAAGCAGAGACTGAAGCAGAGACTGAAGCAGAGACTGAAGCAGAGACTGAGGCAGAGACTGAGGCAAAGACTGAGGCAGAGACTGAAGCAGAGACTGAAGTAGAGACTGAGGCAGAGACTGAAGCAGAGACTGAAGCAGAGACTGAAGCAGAGACTGAGGCAGAGACTGAGGCAGAGACTGAGGCAGAGACTGAGGCAGAGACTGAGGCAGAGACTGAAGCAGAGACTGAAGCAGAGACTGACGCAGAGACTGAGGCAGAGACTGAAGCAGAGACTGAGGCAGAGACTGAGGCAGAGACTGAGGCAGAGACTGAGGCAGAGACTGAGGCAGAGACTGAGGCAGAGACTGAAGCAGAGACTGAGGCAGAGACTGAAGCAGAGACTGAGGCAGAGACTGAGGCAGAGACTGAAGCAGAGACTGAGGCAGAGACTGAAGCAGAGACTGAAGCAGAGACTGAGGCAGAGACTGAGGCAGAGACTGAAGCAGAGACTGAGGCAGAGACTGAGGCAGAGACTGAGGCAGAGACTGAAGCAGAGACTGAAGCAGAGACTGAAGCAGAGACTGAGGCAGAGACTGAAGCAGAGACTGAGGCATAGACTGAGGCAGAGACTGAGGCAGAGACTGAGGCAGAGACTGAGGCAGAGACTGAGGCAGAGACTGAAGCAGAGACTAAGCAGAGACTGAGGCAGAGACTGAGGCAGAGACTGAGGCAGAGACTGAGGCAGAGACTGAGGCAGAGACTGAAGCAGAGACTGAAGCAGAGACTGAGGCAGAGACTGAGGCAGAGACTGAGGCAGAGACTGAGGCAGAGACTGAGGCAGAGACTGAAGCAGAGACTGAAGCAGAGACTGAGGCAGAGACTGAAGCAGAGACTGAAGTAGAGACTGAGGCAGAGACTGAAGCAGAGACTGAAGCAGAGACTGAAGCAGAGACTGAGGCAGAGACTGAGGCAGAGACTGAAGCAGAGACTGAAGCAGAGACTGAGGCAGAGACTGAAGCAGAGACTGAGGCAGAGACTGAGGCAGAGACTGAGGCAGAGACTGAGGCAGAGACTGAAGCAGAGACTGAAGCAGAGACTGACGCAGAGACTGACGCAGAGACTGAGGCAGAGACTGAAGCAGAGACTGAGGCAGAGACTGAGGCAGAGACTGAGGCAGAGACTGAGGCAGAGACTGAGGCAGAGACTGAGGCAGAGACTGAAGCAGAGACTGAGGCAGAGACTGAAGCAGAGACTGAGGCAGAGACTGAGGCAGACTGAGAGACAGAGAGACTGAGCAGAGACTGAGGCAGAGACTGAGGCAGAGACTGAGCAGAGACTGAGCAGAGACTGAGGCAGAGACTGAGGCAGAGACTGAGGCAGAGACTGAAGCAGAGACTGAGCAGAGACTGAAGCAGAGACTGAGGCAGAGACTGAGGCAGAGACTGAAGCAGAGACTGAAGCAGAGACTGAGGCAGAGACTGAGGCAGAGACTGAGGCAGAGACTGAGGCAGAGACTGAGGCAGAGAGTGAGGCAGAGACTGAGGCAGAGACTGAGGCAGAGACTGAAGCAGAGACTGAAGCAGAGACTGAAGCAGAGACTGAGGCAGAGACTGAGGCAGAGACTGAAGCAGAGACTGAGGCAGAGACTGAGGCAGAGACTGAGGCAGAGACTGAAGCAGAGACTGAAGCAGAGACTGAAGCAGAGACTGAGGCAGAGACTGAAGCAGAGACTGAGGCATAGACTGAGGCAGAGACTGAGGCAGAGACTGAGGCAGAGACTGAGGCAGAGACTGAGGCAGAGACTGAGGCAGAGACTGAAGCAGAGACTGAAGCAGAGACTGAGGCAGAGACTGAAGCAGAGACTGAAGCAGAGACTGAAGCAGAGAGTGAGGCAGAGACTGAGGCAGAGACTGAAGCAGAGACTGAAGCAGAGACTGAAGCAGAGACTGAAGCCTCTTCCTGCAGCCGTCGGTCTGAGTGGTCCTCGACTCATAATAACAACTATTTTAGTCCGAGCTTTGGGCGAGAGCTGTTTGAGATTCAGTTTATTCATTGGGTTTGAGTGATTTGCACATGAAAAGGAATTGTTTTTCTACATAAATATTCAACGCGAAGTTATTTAGAAACAAGAACATGCAACACATTATTATCAAAGTATCTGCCACAAAGTCAGTATCAGTGAGAAACAGATTTGATCCAAAAAGCGCAGATTTTTACATATTAATTTTTTCCTCGAGGAGAAACCAGTTTTAGAGAATAGATAATAATACTTATAAACACCACAGTTGGAAAAGAAAATGGGAAAAAAAGAAGTTTATATTGAAGCAGATCAATCACGCTGCAAAAAGTGATGAAAAGTTAGTCAAAAACTGCTTGACTTTGGCAAAATGCACCTTATTTTGGCTGTTTCCCTTTGATGAATCTTGTTTTAACAGAATGTGTCAGATTAAGACAAAAAACACACAATTAAAAGGAATTATGACCCTTTTTTGATCATTATTTGCAGACTCCCCGTTTTTATTATTATCCTTAACAGTTTCCGTACTCTTTTTCCAGTCAGCTCCATTCCTCTTCAAAAAACAGAAATGAATGTTGTCAGTATTTGATATCTGTCCTTGCAGAGGTTGTTGCTATTTATAAATAGAGTGAATCAGTCAGTACAGAAAAAAACACACAATTCTCTGTCTGTCTGTCTGTCTCTCTGTCCGCCTGTCTGTCTCTCTGTCCGCCTGTCTGTCTCTCTGTCCGCCTGTCTGTCTCTCTGTCCGCCTGTCTGTCTCTCTGTCCGCCTGTCTGTCTCTCTGTCCGCCTGTCTGTCTCTCTGTCCGCCTGTCTGTCTCTCTTTCCGCCTGTCTGTCTCTCTTTCCGCCTGTCTCTCTCCCTGTCTGTCTGTCTGTATAATGAATGAGTTAAGCCCAGTTGTGATGTCATCATTGTCAGCCGGACACACAACACAACACAACAGCAGAGCCACCTTTAAATCTGAAATACTACATTCTTAAGTTTGTTTAGTGAAGATAAAGTTTAAAGTCCGTCGTATCCACTGGACTTGAATCCAGATCAAGTCACATCCGCTGTTTTTCTAAACTCTTTCCACCTGAGCCTGATGCAAAACACAACTTTTGGTGACGTTGGACTTTAAACACAGCATGACTTCACTGGAACCTGTTTGTGCGGCTGCTGCAGCGCTGTGTACACATCTCTGTGACATAACTGTGACCCCTGTGGACCGAGCCAGAGAGTGAGCCAGAGACCGAGACCGAGCCAGAGAGTGAGCCAGAGACCGAGACCGAGCCAGAGACTGAGACCGAGCCAGAGAGTGAGCCAGAGACTGAGCCAGAGACCGAGCCAAATACTGAGACCGAGCCAAAGACTGAGACCGAGCCAGAGAGTGAGCCAGAGACTGAGCCAGAGACTGAGCCAGAGACCGAGCCAGAGACCGAGCCAGAGACCGAGCCAGAGACCGAGACCGAGACCGAGACCGAGACCAAGACCGAGACCGAGACCGAGACCGAGACCGAGACCGAGACCGAGACCAAGACCGAGACCAAGACCGAGCCAGAGACTGAGACCGAGCCAGAGACCGAGCCCGAGCCAGAGACCGAACCAGAGACCGAGACAGAGTGAGCCAGAGACCGAGACTGAGGCAGAGACTGAGCCAGAGACTGAGCCAGAGCCAGAGACAGAGCCAGAGACAGAGGCAGAGAGCATCCACGATTACAATCAAAACAATCACATGCTTTGCTTATTATCAATTAAAGATCTACAGGAGGATTTTCTACTTCCGGGTGGATCCTCAAGACTATTGGTCCTCCCAACTGTCAATCATTCTGGTGATTGGTGCTCGTCCAATAAGAGCAGAGAGTTTTGTTCAAAAAGCATTTAAATTCAACATATCCTTCTAATGCCAAAAATCACAACAACAGTTTATTCTCATATTTGCCAACACAGATTAGAGAATAAAACACAAGAAATGCAACGATAGAAAACATTGGTCCCTCAGAAGCAGAGACCAATGTTTATAAATGTTTATAAATGTTGTTGGAACTCTAAAAAAAGCAGTGGGAAAAGGTGAGATAGGGGATAATACTGAAGAACCTTATGCAAATGTATTGTTTATACAGAAGTAACCTCCACAATTACTACTAAAACAGTGATTAATGTATAAAAATGAGACGTGCTGCTTCTCCACAGAAAGGCTGCCAACAGGAAGTGGATCAATAAATACATATATAAAAAACTGCAAGGACTTATTATTATTATTATTACTATTTTAATGCATTATTTGTCTTTTGTCTTGCCTGTTTACTCTGTATTGTATGTGTTGTGTGTACATATTGTGAGTACATGTTTGGTGACTTTGCTTCAGCCCTAAATCACAACAGTAGTTTATTTTCTGAGGACTTCATCAACACAGATTAGAGAATCAGAAACAAGAAATGCAATGATAATAAACTCACACAGAGCCTTTAGTCCATGGACAGTATGTTCTAGGTTCTATTTAAGCCCTTGTCCCTTCAGCCTCCCACATTTCCCTTCAATCCAGCACATACACATCCTCATCCATTCATCACAACAGCCTCTCTGCAAACTGCATGTGATTTGCAGAACTCACATCCAGCACATCCAGGTCTCTGTAATTAGCCAACTCCATCTCCGTCTCCATCTCGTCATGCACTGAAGTCTCCATGATCTCGTAATGAGGAGGACATTACTCACAGATGTGCAGCAGGTGACTCCTCTCTCACATCGGGGTAAATCCACACGACGCCAGAAGCCGCGGAGGTGATGAGGACATGCAAACCTCACCCCAGCCCCTACTGCGTCCTACTGCGTCCTGCTGCGTCCTGCTGCGTCCTACTGCGTCCTGCTGCGTCCTACTGCGTCCGCCTGATCTCTGTTTATTCTCCGCAAGAGGCTACTCAAACAACAGCCACTGCACACAGAGGAGAGAGACGCTGACAACTGTTTTATAACCAGACAGAACCTCCTCCACCAATCCCAGGCCTGGTCCCGTCCCCGTCGTCATGGGAACAGCCAATAGGGGCCGGTTCTCGCTCCATACCTCCTCCTCCTCCTCCTCCTCCTCCCTCCTCCTCCCTCCTCCTCCCCATCCTCTCCGGTCAGCTGATGGGAGATGTTGTGGACTGTGGCGTGGTGTTTAGTGACACGTGTGTGAGGCGAGGTGAGATTGTCGTCTACAGAACGCAGATGGGGTTAGGTTCGAGGCCCATTCTGCCAGCTGTGAGTCTGCAGAGAGACGCGGGGGAATGGGATGTTTATGGAAACGTGAGTAAATGATGCGGGGAAGAAGTGTCGAGTACGTTCTGTGCGGTATTCTGAGCAGTGAGAGGTGAGTTTGGGGACGTTGTGTTCTTTGATCTGTCCACAGCGTCTAAAGTTACACTTTCTATGAGTTTATGTACTTCTTGTTTTCGGGTTTTCTGCCCTGGACGTGTGTGCGCATGTGTGTGATTGTGTTTGTTTGTAAAAATAAAAACACAAAGATATGAAAATATAAACTTTTTTGATCTCACAATGGAGAAGTGCACATGTCCAGTGTTGTTCCTTCTGCCACAGCTGCTCTCACCGGTCTGTAAAACTGTCCATGCGTCTGCATTATTGGGCATTATTGTGTATTATTGTGTATTATTGTGTATTGTTGTCTATTGTAGTGTTGTATTTCCTTCTCCAATGTCAGTGTTCTACATGTAGGTGACAGTGTCTGTGGAAATGATGTCCCTATCTCTCTGTCTGTATCTATCTCCCTCTCTCTCTCTCTCTTACTTTCTCTCTCTCTCCCTCTTTCTCTTACTTGAGAGGAGGTCCTGAGGAGGTCCTGAGGAGGTCCTGAGGAGGTCCTGAGGAGGTCCTGAGGAGGTCCTGAGGAGGTCCAGCTGAAACATTGGATGTGACTCCGTTCATTCAGACGTTTCCTGAATGACAGACGGAGACTCAACACCTCAGTCCCAGCTCCATCTGGCTCACGCTGACACAGACATCACACAGACACAGCCCAGACACAGCCGCAGACACAGCCGCAGACACAGACATCACACAGACACAGGCCAGACACAGCCGCAGACACAGATACAGCCGCAGACACAGCCGCAGACACAGACATCACACAGACACAGGCCAGACACAGCCCAGACACAGACACAGCCCAGACACAGACACAGCCCAGACGCAGCCCAGACGCAGACACAGCCGCAGACACAGACACAGCCCAGACACAGCCCAGACACAGCCCAGAAACAGCCGCGGACACAGCCGCAGACACAGACACAGCCGCAGACACAGCCGCAGACACAGACATCACACAGACACAGGCCAGACACAGACACAGACACAGCCCAGACGCAGCCCAGACGCAGACACAGCCGCAGACACAGACACAGCCCAGACACAGCCGCGGACACAGCCGCAGACACAGCCGCAGACACAGACACAGCCGCAGACACAGCCGCAGACACAGACACAGCCCAGACACAGCCGCAGACACAGCCGCAGACACAGCCCAGACACAGCCGCAGACACAGCCCAGACACAGACACAGCCGCAGACACATAAACATATTTTAAATTAGAGATAGCCCAGGCCCTTTTTGTTTAACCATTATTGAGAGTATTATTATTATTATTATTATTATTATTATTAGGTTCTGTATGTCACATTTGCTTTTCTTGTTTGGCACAATGGGAGAAAATAAAAAGTGTGTCTAATGTGGCTTTGATGCTGCTGAAAGTACTGTATAAAAAAGGACATCGCTTCCATTCTCTCCAGGGATTTGTAAATGTGGAGATTTGGATGAATTTAGGTTTTTTAGTCTGAAGAAATGAAAAACAGTTCAGTTTGTGAGAAACAACTTTACTGATCACATCTATACATACACAAAAGTAAATCAATTATAAACATTTCTAACTAACAATCGAGCACAGGTTTAACTCAGACAGACTTGTTGTACAGTCTGACAGTCGAAGGAGTAAAGGATTTCTAAAAAAGTTCCGTTTGGCAGCGCAGTGATAGAAACCTGTTGCCACGGTTACCCCTCTGAGCGGCCGTAGTGTCTGGCCGAGGGTTGGAATGGAAAGAGTGAGGTACAACTGCAAACTTACCAAGACGTGGCTGTGTGCCCAAACTACAGACAGAGACGCACTGGGCGGCACGCTGGCTGAGTGGTTAGCTCTCTCGCTTCTCAGCCAGAAGGTCCTGGGTTCAAATATTGGTCGGAACTGAGCGGAGTTTCGATGTTCTGTAACTTCCACTCCACGTAGGTTTCCTCCAGGTGCTCCGGTTTCCCCTACCACTAAAAACATGTACTGGTCTGTGCCTCCTGTACTGGCCCCGCCCCTCTCTGTGTGGAGTGACAGACTGATGCCCACAACTGTAAACGGCTTTGACTCTGGTCTGAGAAAGGCGCTATATAAATAAACATTACTGCTTATTCAGAGGCGTCATGTTTTTGGGCCTAAACTGTAAAATTCAACACATTGTTTTATTAAAATAGTTTCTGATGTTGTGAGAAAAGGTTTGATGAAGTTTGTCTCTGGTTTGATCTGTGCGTACAGAAAACACCGCCGCGGGTCAGAGCCACGTTCATGGTTTTGGGTGTACACAAAGTTCACACACACACACACGCACAACGTTCATATACACACACACACACACGCACAACGTTCATATACACACACACACACGCACAACGTTCATATACACGCACACGCACAACGTTCATATACACACACACACACGCACAACGTTCATATACACACACACACACACACGCACACACACACGCACAACGTTCATATACACGCACACACACACACGCACAACGTTCATATACACACACACAACGTTCATATACACACACGCACACACGCACAACGTTCATATACACACACACACACACGCACAACGTTCATATACATGCACACACACACGCACAACATTCATATACACACACACACACACACACAACGTTCATATACACGCACACACACACGCACAACATTCATATACACACACACACACACACAACGTTCATAAGCACACAACTTTCACATCTGAGACATGTCTATAGGTGTAAAGCAACAACATGGGTTACAACATTAAACAACAAACAACACAACACTACACTGTGTATGTTTCTGTGTGTGTCTCTCTCTCTGTGTGTCTATGTGTGTGTCTGTGTGTGTCCATGTGTGTGTGTCTGTGTGCGTTTTCTCCGTCTGCAGCAGCTCTGACACTAATTAGCAGAATGTCGGTGTCAGAGCCGAGCAGTGGACTGAGGTTAGAGCCACAAAGATGTGAAAAACACACACAAGGAGACACACAACACACACCAGGAGACACACAAGACACACAACACACACCAGGAGACTCACAACACACACCAGGACACACAACGCACATCAGGAGACATACAACACACACCAGGAGACACACAACACACACCAGGAGACTCACAACACACACCAGGACACACACAACGCACATCAGGAGACACACAACACACACCAGGAGACTCACAACACACACCAGGACACACACAACGCACATCAGGAGACACACAACACACACCAGGAGACTCACAACACACACCAGGACACACACAATGCACATCAGGAGACACATAACACACACCAGGACACACACAACACACACCAGGAGACTCACAACACACACTAGGACACACACAACACACAACAGGAGACACAAAACACAAACCAGGAGACTCACAACACACACTAGGACACACACAACACACACTAGGACACACACAACACACACCAGGAGACACACAACACACACCAGGAGACACATAACACACACCAGGAGACACACAACACACACCAGGAGACACACAACACACACCAGGAGACACACAACACACAGCTGGAAAACCACAACACAAACTAGGAGACACAAACACACAGCTGGAGAACCACAACACACACCAGGAGACACACAACACACACCAGGAGACACACAACACACAGCTGGAAAACCACAACACAAACCAGGAGACACACAACACACAGCTGGAGAACCACAACACACACCAGGAGACACACAACACACACCAGGAGACTCACAACACACAACAGGACACACACAACACACACCAGGAGACACAAAACACACAGCTGGAGAACCACAACACAAACCAGGAGACACACAACACACAGCTGGAGAAACACAACACACACCAGGAGACTCACAACACACACCAGGACACACACAACACACACCAGGACACACACAACACACACCAGGACACACACAACACACACCAGGACACACAGATGGATGAAGTGTCAGTAGCAGGACTCAGGTGATGAAGTGTCAGTAGCAGGACTCAGGTGATGAAGTGTCAGTAGCAGGACTCAGGTGATGAAGTGTCAGTAGCAGGACTCAGGTGATGAAGTGTCAGTAGCAGGACTCAGATGATGAAGTGTCAGTAGCAGGACTCAGGTGATGAAGTGTCAGTAGCAGGACTCAGGTGATGAAGTGTCAGTAGCAGGACTCAGGTGATGAAGGTGAATGAGGAACAGAGTTAAATATCAACACTAGAACAGAGCAGTCACTGTAGTTTATTTCTATGTCATTATATTCGAATGAGAACCGTCAAAAATGACTGCTCTGGACGTCCATGTGATAACGCCTCATGATGTTCAGTTCAAACAGTCCAAAAGTACTGCACCTGTAACATGTAACACAGTGTTAGACGCAGAGGGAAACAAATATTTCACTTTAATACTTATGGGTACATGTACGTGTCTGTGTGTGTGTGTATGTGTATGTGTGTGTACGTGTGTATGTTTGTGTGTGTACGTGTATGTACGTGTATGTGTGTGTACGTGTACGTGTATGTTTGTGTGTGTACGTGTACTGTATGTACGTGTATGTGTATGTACGTGTACGTGTATGTTTGTGTGTGTACGTGTATGTTTGTGTGTGTATGTGTATGTACTTGTGTACGTTTGTGTGTGTACGTGTACGTATGTACGTGTATGTGTGTGTACGTGTATGTGTGTGTGTGTGTACGTGTACGTGTGTGTATTAGAGGTGCAACGGTTCATCACTGATCCGTGATCCGTTCGGTTCAACGTCTTCGGTTCGGTACAGACGTTATCCGCGGTTTGATTTATGAAAAAAAAGTTGTGCGCACGTTGTTCAGTCCACACACAGCGCGGTCATTGCGAGCGGAGGAACGGAGACGCTTGAAAGCCCTGCGTCATTTAAATCCCCAGTATGAGAGCATTTTGGCTTCACTGTAACTACACTGATAATTAATATTCGACAAAACTGTCACGATGTGTAAGCACTGTGGACCAAGAAAGACATGAGTGAAAAAAGCGTCTCAACGACCGCTTATTGTCGCGGCGTTTAAGCAGCTCCTTTACGCACAGTCAGACCGGGCTAAAGTCAACTCTCCCGCGCATCCTCAGCTGCGCTCACGACTGACGCTTGGACGTCCCGCGGAACCTATAATAGATCCATGAACAGAACCTATAATAGATCCATGAGCGGAACCGCTCACTTCATCACCGCAGACTGGGAGATGAAAAGTCTGGGGCTGAAGACACGCCCCCTCTACGACAGTCACACTGTCACACAGCACAGGTACTGACACACAGCACAGGCACTGACACACAGCACAGGTACTGACACACAGCACAGGTACTGACACACAGCACAGGTACTGACACACAGCACAGGCACTGACACACAGCACAGGCACTGACACACAGCACAGGTACTGACACACAGCACAGGCACTGACACACAGCACAGGTACTGACACACAGCACAGGTACTGACACACAGCACAGGTACTGACACACAGCACAGGCACTGACACACAGCACAGGTACTGACACACAGCACAGGCACTGAC